GAATTGGGGGGAGGGGGCATCTGTCATATTCGCCTTTATTTGATTGTAAACTGCTTAGCTGTCTGGTAAAGTCCCCCGTACAGTGTTGTAAAGCACCATGAATTGAAGATATGAGCGCTATATAAATAAAAGTTATTATTATTATTATTATTATTATTATTATTATAATTATCTCGAATGTTACACTGGAAAGTAGAAAAAAGTCAACAAAATGTGCTGTCAAAGCGCGATACAAAAATGAATGGGAGGCTTGTAAAATAAATAAACTGCCCTCTGGCTTGCTTGTATGTCGGCTAATAATGTCCTTAGCTGTGAGATTGTCCTCAAAATATCACACTCAAGCTTATCCTTGAAGCTTCGCTCCACGGTGAAATAATCATTTTTCGGGTAATCTCTCTGCTGAGGAAATTATCAACCAATACCAGCCGCCTCTAGAGGCCAGGTTTATTTACTAAATGATTGAAGGAAGAAAAGTCCTTATTAAGACGTTAATAATTTCAACGCGAAATTATGTTATCTTCGTCATAGGATTAATATCAGTTTCTCTCTAACCGTGACTGGCAAAGCCGTCAATGGCTTCCTCAACTGGGGCCACATCCTTGGAACAACGACGCTGGGTAGTGGTGGGTATTGCCCTTCAAAATGTTCTCACCCCTTGTCTCAGGGTCAAAATTCAGAGCGAGATGAAGCCATTTTACCAGCATCTGGTGGCATCTTGTGGACTAGATAAGCAGACCTATCCAACTCACCGAAAAACCATTCCTCCAAGCACGTTGAAGCTGAACTACGAAAGTATCAACAATAACGCCGCCCTGCACAAAAACCCGCGTCACTATGACTACCGTGTAAAGGATGAAATTTCTTTGGCGAAATTGTTTATGAAGCCATTCATGACCCATTTCAATGCATTTGATACATCCTTTGACGCTTCTGCAGCTCTTGCCGTTCTTTGCGGGGCAATACCATTCACTTCGGTACGACCATTCGCCGAAGACGTACGTTCAGAGGTGCGCAATGAATGGGCTCATTGCAACTTTGCCAGGTGGACTGACATCCAATACAATCACTGCTTCGATCTCTTGGAGGCCTTGGTCAAAAACCTTAAGCTGCTTCCAGCTGATGAACTGAGTATCATGAACGAGCTCCAGCTATGGAGAAAAAGAGGTATGATAACAGCGAACGACTAAACCACTTTTTTTTTTGTCCTTGTGATTCAAGAAAATTTAAATAACTGTTCTTTTTTTAATTCGGGGTACAGTTATAAGGATCTGCAAATAAGAATAGTCGATCTGCAAATCCATATGGCATCCATCGAAACAAAAAATTGACTGGCCCATTGCTAGTGCCGAACTTAGACATCGTTTAAATCCGCATTGGCGCTTACTCCAGTGACTAAAATTATTACTCACTTGCATGTTTACCACTCTTTCCAAAACTTTACCCAAAACCAGCACCACAGAAAGTAACTTATAGTTTTTTATCAGCAGCTTATGTTCAGTCGTATATAAAGAGATTAAAAGAGTAATATTCCACAGAGTAAGAACAGTTCCATCTGTGATTCGATGGACAAGTAGACCATCCAAAGGGTTTCATCAGTACTCCTTGTTGCTTCACGTTCCTTATTAAACCCGGGGCTCCTGTGCTTAAAAAAAAGCAGATGATTTTAATTGCTTTATAATAAATGGACCTTTGATAGCCCAAAGTTAAGGGAGATGGTTTCGAAGCTGTCGCCTTGGCTGTTTCTGTAAGCGCGCGTGTTTTTCAAGATGGCTTATCCCGAACTTAAAGTTTTTTTTTTCGGATCAATCTCAGTATATAAGCAACTACGCACCCACTCCTCCCCTAACACAGCAACAGTTAATTGATAACAACTTAGGGTTAATTAAGAGGGTCTCAATGGGTGATGGCTTTTAGGACTAACGGTCCCAGATTTGGCCATTTTATGTCCAAGGGTTATTTTGTCCTCTACGTTTTTTATAAATATTTATAGTTTTTTAACAGCAGCTTATGTTCAGTCGTATATAAAGAGATTAAAGGAGTAATATTCCACAGAGTAAGAATAGTTCCATCTGTGATTCGATGGACAAGTAGACCATCCAAAGGGTTTCATCATTTTTATAAATATA